CTTTTTTTTCTAAGAAGGTTAAATTAATATATTCATGTCATAGTATATATAGGGTTTTTTTACATTTTAAAAAAATCAAAACATATATTTAAAAAAAAATTTTAAATTGAAAAAAAAATCCAAATTTTTTTTAAATTACATTTTTAAAGTCATTTTTATCCAGTCTAGCTTTCCTTGTTTTTTCCTATCCTTTTTGGAATGCAACACACTTTTATGAGACTTGTTTGCAGGATTCAGGGAGGCATTTCTAGAGCCAGGGAAGCAGACTTTTTTATTAGATGATATCTTAAAGGTTACCAATAGAGCAGCTTTCAAAGCTTGTAGTCCTACAAACCAAGCTGAGTTTTGTTCTTCCAGTAAAAAGGCTTGTTTAAAGGGGGAAGCATTTTGGTAAAAAGCAGGAACTTTTCTGAAGGTCCTGTTGAAGTTGGAATCCTACGATGGCCTGGAGCAACCTTCTGGAACTCCTCGGCGCATTCGGTAACAGAAAGGTGTATTCATGGGAACTTGTAATGGCTGCAGCAGGTATTGTACTGCACCTAGGAGAATGGTGAATAAGCTTGATAATAGTTCTGCTGCTACGTAAGTGAGTTTACACAAACCAGACTTAAAAAAAAGGGTTCAAGAAAATATTCGTCATATTTTTGTTGCTAGAAGTATATAGAAACTGCCTTGTGGCTAGCAGGATAGCTGTCTTTGAAATGGTACCATTGCCTTATACTGGATAATCTAATTAATCAATTGTAGCTCGAGTATCTGAGCACCAGCTTCTAGGTAGCCTTTTGGAGTAGGTGGTAGTTTTAATGTGAACCTTCTTTAAGGAGGAGTATTATCAGGCTATGGATGTTGCACCTTGCAGCTGCAAGGAATGAAATAGTCACTTTAACAGCAAGGTCAGTTTTACTTAGTTATTAAAACCTAAATCTCTTCTATGGAATTAACTAATTTTCCTCTATTCTGCGTTGTAGAAAGATTGGGCAGTTTGAAGATGAAGTCTGTCTATATAACCCTAATGGTCAAACAGTGTACTACAGATTACCCTAAAACTTGGGTTGGGGCAGAGGAGTGGCTGGTTTGTTTGTTGTTTTTTTTTTTAAATTGGACATGGTTCATAGTTTCTTCAGAAATAAAGAGGTAGCCTACAAGGCAAAATCATGAAATGCTGAAACTTGGGTTAGCGGAGAGTCATCTTTATATTGTAGCTTGTAATGAGTCTTAAGTTCTGCTATCAACATGCCTCTGATATTTACTCTAGATTTTGTTTAGATCAGAGATGAAATGGTGAGTGCCGTACAGTGTTCCCAAAATAGTTTATTTGGAGATAAGTTCTCTACTGGCTGGGAATTGCCTGTCACTGGTTTATGCCAACAGATTTTTAGGAGTGCAGCAGTTACTATCCCAAACTGCCTAAAGTCTGAAGGCACGTACAGATGATACTTATTAACATAGGGTCCAGCTTGCTGGTTGAAACCAGCTGGTTCAGTGAACGTCTGAAAGCATCTTGGAAAGTCACGATTATTCTGTCCTAATAGTGCCTCAAATGCTTAAGTAACGCATAGCAAACCAAAGGCTTGGAGCAGTTGTGAGAGACTGTTGGAGTCTAGGGAGGGTAGAGGATGAGGTAAACTGCATGGGTGTTGGGTGGAGTTGTACCTTCAGATTTAGTTGGAAGGATATGTGTAGGAAATGGCTAAGGCTCTTGGCCTTGGAGGAAATATATTGGGATTCTCTTCTCCAGCAAGGATGGGATGGGTGGGCTGCAAATCGGATTTTAGAGTTCAAATATCGGCTTCACCAAATTTGGACCAAACCGTGATTGCCCATTTCGCATAGCTGTCACTACTGCTGGAGTATACAAGCTTTGGCGTTTATACATGTACGTTTTCATCCCACGACACTGGAGATCCAGCGGGTCAGTGCAGACTTGATTAATTGAGTCTGTTCCGCATGTTAGCTGATGCACACTGTGCCGTTTTGCGTGCAGTTGTATAAGTGGCAAAATGCGCGTCTGTGCAGAAAATGGTGGCGGTGTGTTTTGAAGTGAAACACCTCCACTGTTTTAGTTCAGGAGCGCACCGCTGCCACTTTCTTAGCACTGATGCATGTTTTGCCACTTACACAGTTGTATGTGCTGCAGCGCCAGGCACTTTTTTAAAAGAGCAACCAAGAGCAAATGTGTACAAATGCCCTTTGATTCCACTGAGGTCAATTTAAACTAGAAGCATCAATAGTTAGATGTAGGATATGAGAGACTGCATCTGAGCTGTAGATACAAACTGCCTGTAGACTTGAGTAGACCTCATATTTTTGGTGTAGTTTTAAAGATTTATTTTGGAATATTTTAGTGGAGCCTTTCAACCCTATTCAACAAACATGCAGCAACCTATATGGCCACAAAGTGCTCCTAAATACGTTTGCGTTCTGGAGTCACTTGATGCTGAACAAGCAGGTGGGACTGGCTTGCTTTCTTTGGAGTTTGAAAGGAGGAGTGGTCACTTATACATCAGTTAGTTGGGACAAAAGGGGTAATATGCGTTATGGCAGACTTCCAAAAGAGTCGAATGGAAACAAAGGCTTGATAAGGATTTGGCTCTGAAATTTACCCAAGATAAATGGGAGCATAGTTGTACCTTTCAGATGTGAATGAGAAGCTTTATTTACAGGTAGAAGGTAAGGCACTGTGTTTAAGCTGAAGAATACTATGCTATATTGGTGGCAGTCACTAGCAAGCAGTATAGTTTTTGTGCTTCTCTGAAAGGCAGACCTAGTAGTTTCAAATAGCTATCTTGCTAAATAGGATACTGATGCACATTTATCTTGTACAGCAAGTTTCTGTTGTCAGAACAGGCTTTTATGATGCATTTGGCTGGTGGAATATTAGAGCAATAAGACTAACCAAAGTGTGGTGTGGTTTAGGACATTCTTTAGGCTTATTTCCTTAGGATAAATCATGAGGAGCATATGAAGGGGTTTGAATGAACGGGGCATGTCTTTCACTTTGAAGCCTTTAGAGTTAAATGAATCTTTGCTAGAGATGCTTGATCTTTGGAAGCAGGGAAGAATACCTCTTAGGAGAAGTCTTATCTGGACAAAGGGACACCAGTTATTTCTCCTTTAGCCCTTAACATGGAAAACTTGGGGGGGAGGGGGCTAGAAGTGATGGGGTGGGGTCCATCCATTATCTTGTCTAGAAAAGGGTGGGGAGAAGATGGTGCTAACAAGTAGAAACCTTTCATTCTTGTAGGGATGATAAGCACTGGAGGTTTCTCTGGTGTTAATAATGTGGCCTTGAACGACTTGAAACGGGTAAAGTTAGTGCTTTGTTTGGCAGTCACTGGAGAAGCCTTTCTAATGTGTTTGACTTTATGAAGGGCTGAACAACCACTTGATGAAAACAAGGTTTCTCAGTCGTTTGGAATGGCTCACGGGCTTTTGATGTTTGCTTCCTCCATAATGGGGACTTGAAAATCCTGTCCTTTTTTGGGAGCAGCTTAGATTGGATAATGAAAGGAGGGCACCTCACTCAGATCTTTGAGACCTGAAGAAAGTTAAGATGTCTAAAGTTGCCCTGGAAAAAGGCCACTACTGATGAACAATTGGTGAAAGAGAAGGAAATCTCTGCCTGGAAAAGTAGAAATGCATTGACTTTTCAGGTTGATAACTTCCCTAAAGTAGAACTACTTAAAAAAATAAAATAAAAAAATGACGGGGGCAAGGCTTCACAGCAGACATTTACATCTCTAACTTGGTGGCTACATACAAGTATAAGCAGGCATCTAGCTACTTAATGGGTCCAGGAACGCCATCTTGCTTCTTGGCAGAGGCAACCAGGGAAAACTGGCTAGTTTGAAATAATGGGATGCCTTCTTATCTGAAGGCAAGTTCTAAGAATCCCTTGTCCTGGCCTGGTTCTACGGGACAAGTGACTTGTATTCCAACACTACAAACGACACTTGCTGGTAGAGGCCTGAGTTTAGGAAGCTGTCCTCTGTAGGTAACTTTTAGCTAAGTTGAGGGCAGTGGGGGAAATCTGTACATGTTACTCATGAGTTATCTTGAAGTAATATTGGAACCTATAGGTATTGATCAATTTGGCATTTTTATAATAGTTACTTGCCTCTCACTACTCACCAAGCTTTAAAGGAACAGTAGGAAATTTGTATACACCTTGCTAAAAGAGGCAATGGTGTGTTAAGACGCACAATTTGCAAGTCCCTGTCTGATCCCTGATATAACACTTGGCAAACCGTGAAGCTTTTAGATGTGTATGCACACACATACACCCTCGCCTAATCTCTGCATCTCAAAACACACCCTAATCCTGCTTTTCTGAACACACTTGGAATTGTGCAATTTTCCCTCCCTGCCATGAGGCTAAAGGCTGTGCAGGTTCTTCCAGTTACTGTTCTGTAACCTAAGGAAGCTGAAAGATACCTGCTTCTTCCCCCCACACCTCCTTTCTTTTTCAAACTGGAGTTGAGAGCCTTTTTACTTATTGCCCAATGGCATCTCTTGCGCAGCTGAAGAAATGTCTTGAAGTGATGAACCTAGCTCCCAGGATGGTGCAGTGAGTTCCCATACAGCACAACTAGAAGCCCCAGGTCCATTACAAGAAATACTGGCATGTCTTTCATATAGCTAAGCCACTCAGTTATTCTGTCTAGCCAGGCACTACTTCCATGTGCTTTAAAAATGCATGGATACTTGCCGACGAGACAATACTTGTATTCAGTGGATGAGGCACTTCTGAACAGATCTGAAGAAGCAGCATAAAATCATGGCTAGAAGTGGAAGATGAGACTTGTATTTATGCATGTACCCCAGTACTTGGTGCACTTAAAATCGTGTCTTCTGAGGACAAATAGTAAGCTTTTTCCTAGTTGTACATTGTAAAAATCAATGTTGAAGATTATCTACTGTAAACATTTTGTCTATCTTTGTGGCTAGATCTAATGTGCGCTGTCTGTTTCTCTTTTTTTTTTTTTTTTTTAAATCTCTAGTCAGGCCAGTTCAGTGAAGATATGATCCCTACGGTGGGCTTCAACATGAGGAAGGTTACCAAGGGTAATGTCACAATAAAGGTATGCTAAAAGTCTTTCTACACTCTTCAAAACAGCTTGTAAAAGAGTAATCCAGTTTAGTCAGTCAGAGCCCTGTAAACTGAGTCTTCAGAAAACCAGGTTGATCTTTTACTTGAGCTTTTTCTTTGATCTTGCATTTGGTTGCATCACTTCGCTCTCCCTCCCTTGCTGCCTACCACCTACTGATTCCTCTATGGCTCTGCTGTCTGAGCTGCAAATGCTGTAGAGAAATTACAAATGCATTTCTTTTCTAACTCATTCAGGTGCCTGGGGATGGAAATGAAATGCATGCTCTTCTCCCCTTCAATTTTTTTGGGCCCCTCTGTATGAAAATGTGTACAGCTAGTTAAAAAAAGAAAAAGCAGGCTTGTCCTAATTTAGCATGTAAAACATTAATTTAGTTAGCATAATTGCCATTCCAGCCTACAGTGGAACAACATTATAAAATGTCATCCATACCAGCCTTAATGTCAGCCTGCATTGTTCAGGAGACTCTTAACGAATATTGTTACCTTGGAAGCAGATATTCTTGCACATAATTTAATACTTGAACTGGCCTGCCTATTTCCTGTTCTACCATGGGTTTGCAAGCCTGTCCTGTTCTCTTTAAGTTAAGAGGAGGTTTATGAAGAGGTGACCGTCACTAGAAATAGCTTCTTCCATGCAGTAGAAATAGCTTTAGTTTTAACAAAAATTGGTAACTTAGGATGAGTAGAAAATGACAAGATATTATCTATTGCCTCAGTGCACCTGTTTTAATACCCATGAGATGTAATGTGTTAAACTTCTTTCTCTGACTAAATAGCTTGTTTAAACTCTTTTTTTTTTTTTTTTTTTTTTTTCTCTTAAGATCTGGGATATAGGAGGGCAGCCACGGTTCCGAAGCATGTGGGAGAGATATTGCAGAGGAGTCAATGCTATTGTGTGAGTGGAGACTTCCCTAGGCTGCTTGATCTTTGTTTGTAAACTGCCAAGCAAGCTGAGAAACTTAGCTGGGTAAACTCTATCTTAAAACATGGTAGCAGTTAACTCAACTTTAGTCTCTACTTCTCATCAGGGGAGTAGAGAAAATTGAGGCCTTGTTGCTGCATGTTCCTTTCTGACAGATAGAGATCTGCCTGACCCTAGGTGTATAGCTGAGACAAAAATGTAGCTGAGTCTACAACTCTTAAATACTGGGACTGCTTACTGAGAAGAATGTGTACCCTTTCTACTACACCTTTTTTTAACAAAATAGTCTGAGACTATAAAATGAGCATGCTTAATGGTACCTTGCAGAACATAGCCTGTAGGCCTGTCTGAGTCACTGAATGATTACTTTTTTTAAAAAATTGTTTTTAAAGGTACATGGTAGATGCTGCAGATCGTGAAAAGATAGAAGCCTCTCGAAATGAGCTGCATAATCTTCTAGACAAACCACAATTACAAGGAATCCCTGTAAGTAATGCATAGTTCTGCTTTGAGGGTGCATGTTCCACATCACATGCACTTGGGTGAAGGCCTAGTAGATTCCAGTCAGACTTGGTTAACTGGACAGCTTAAGATGAGGTTTGCAATGATATGATGCAGACAGTAATGACTTCCCCAATGCATTTTTCTGATGCATCTCTTCTGCTTCAGGCTAGACTTCTCTCCTATTTTTTCATTCTTATTCAATGGCTAATGCAAGCAAGCCCCTCAGGACTAGTGGGGGAGTTGGGATCATGTGCACGTGAAGTGCCTTGCGCAATAGGTCTCTGCTTTGACTCGGGCTTCTAGATGGTCCTGCCACACGAAACAAAGTTGGTATGCTAATTGTAATGCAAAACATCATGGGAAAGATAGGCAGCTGTCAGATCTTTGGTTACTGGGTTTACTCTGGGACCAAATAGGCAACCAATTAAAAGGCTCCCTTCTCTGATCAAACTGAAGGGTAAGGCAAACAGACATCCTAGAGTGTGGGTTTGAAAAGCAAAGTGAAGTAAGACTGGATGATTGTCCTAATAGCAGCTTCTGGAGGCTTGGGCAAAGGTCTTGGAGGAACTTCTGGGGGAAATGCTTCTGACTTCTTCTCAGTCTTGGCGTGGCTTTGGGGATTAAATGTTTTGGAGGCTTTACTGCCATAATTCCAGTGGGTGGGAGAAGGTGTGAATGTCTTAGCCCAGGCATATCAAAGATGCAGGCAGGATCTGGCCCCCAGAGCCTTATGATCCGGCCTGTGGATCTCTGGCTGACCCTGTGCTCTGCGTGCAGTGTATGTATACTAGACCCAGGGCCGTGGTCACTGCATACAGCGTGGGGTCAATCTGGGGTGCGTGCTGTGGGTGGCACCTATGCTGGCCTGGCCCTGTGCACTGGTTCTAGAGCTTGTCTTGGTCAGGCCCACAAAGTGTCCATGCATACTGGAGCCACCATGCAGGGTCAGTCTTGTGTACATGCCCCATGCTGGCCCTGCATGTAGTGTGAGCCCTGCATTGGGACCAGCACATGCATGGCACATGAGGTTGGTCTGGGGATGCATACTGCGTGCAGTGCCCTGCCCACTGGCTACAGTGCTGATCTGGGTTGGGCCCATAGACTGGCCCCACACACCAGAGCCAGCCCATGGGGCTCTATGCAGCCTATGCCTCATGCTGGTTCCACAAACAAGCCCTAGACTGTCATGAGCTGCACATGGGGCTGATGCAGGTGCTTGCACCAGACTGGCCCTGTTTTGTGTCTCTGCATGGGTCCAATCCAGCCTGCAGACTGGTTGTATGCCCTTCATCTGGTCTGTGGGGACTGAGTTTGACATGCATGCCTTAGTCCTGCCTCACTTAGTAACATCTATGCAGTGCCTTGCAAGTGACAGGCGGGTCTGTGTTTTGTAGTACAGTATGCATCTTGCTTGTTGACTCCATCACCTATCTATTACTGTTTCCAGGTTTTAGTACTTGGAAACAAGAGGGACCTTCCAAATGCCTTGGATGAAAAACAGCTAATTGAAAAGATGTAAGTATTAGAAAATGTGATTAAGAGTGATTTACCCAGGAGCTCGTTCACAAAATTAAGTTTTTGTTTCTTAAGCCATAAAAATAACCTGTAAATTTCAGCTTGTTGCTATGGTGTCTTCCTAGTTGCAGCTTGTAATATGAAAAGCAATAGAGAAACAAATAAGCTTGCACAGAGATCAAGCAGTAATGTCTTGGAAATTGTTAGCCTCCATTAGCATAAGTGCCTAATGTAGAATAGAATAGGAAAGTACATTTTATACTAATAATGAAATGTTCCTACACATTCTTTCTCTCAATTTTTTTTTCAGGAATCTGGCTGCAATTCAAGATAGAGAAATTTGCTGCTATTCAATTTCTTGCAAAGAAAAGGATAATATAGGTAACTATTAACCTAGAAATGCCAGTCATTATGGGGATCTGTCAAAGACTGGATCAGAAAAAGACTTCTTAAATTAGTAGCAGACACTCTAACCTCTTAGTGGTGTTTGGAAAATAGGTAATGGGTTTCAGAATCATGGTTAAGTATGCACATTATAAAAGCAGTAATATAACTCTTATGCTAGGTGATGATTTTGACTGGTGAGCAGTTCTGAAAAATACTGACTTCTAGTTAAATAAACTAGCTGAGCTAATGGAATCGGCATTATGACCTGCCAAGTAAGGGGTTGCTACACGGAATAGCTTCTGCAAATCGAGGCAGTTCTATTTTCTTCCAAGCCACCCAACAAGCTCCTGCTGTCCTACTCTCAAACTGCTGTTTTGGGCACCTCTGTAGATCCCACAGTCTGCTGCCTACAATATAGAAATGTTGTTTTTGTTTTTTGTTTGTTTTTTTTCCCCTGTACAGCAAGTTTTAGGTGCTGCTTCTGCATAGTGGGCAACAGAGATCCCTCTGCTTACAGTAAGGGTGGGCAAAATAAAGGCCATGGGCAGGAAACGGGCACACACCAATTAATTATCTGGCCCCTGCTGCACTCTACCTGGGACAGAGTGTGCTGTGCTCCCAACCTCCCCTACCTGCAGGCACAGCTTCTGAGCAGGGCTTCTGCTACTACCACTGCCCAGGGAGCTGCTGGACCTCCCCAGCCTCCAGCAACTCCTGTCCCTGCTGTAGCACTCCAGACAGCAGTTAGGGAGGGGAAGTTGCAGCATTGAAGGGAGCAGGGTAGGCTCTGCCTGCAGCTCACTCTGGTCCTGCTTGTGCTGGGCAGGGGAGTGTGTGGATGGAGGGGGGAATGTGAAGGAGCTCAGCTGCTTACAAAGCCCTGATGGGCAAGCAGGGACAGACGAGAGGGGAGAGCAGCAGCAGGAGCCAGCGTACGCTTGGTGCAGCCCCATCGGGCAGGCGTGTGAGAGGAAAGCAGCAGGAGCCAGCACAGGTTTGGCTGCACTCCTGCTGGACAGGTGTGGAGCAGACTAAGAGCTAGTGATATGAGGCTTGGCCCTGTCCTGTCCTGTGTCCCTCCCTACCGCTGTATAGACTTCTGTTGGTGTTGGCTGCGGCAGCTGTTTTCCTGCCCTTTTGTAGCATGCTGGGAGCCAGGTAGGCAGTGCTGATTCCCTTTCCCCCTGCCCCACCATACCCACCTTCTTGGGCAAGGGGAGAGACTCCCAGTGGCCAAGGTTAGGGTGCAGGATGTCTGGTCACAAGATGGTGACCAGGGGGCAGGGCACCTGTCAATGGGGGTGGGGGGGAAGCCCTTCATGCCTCGTTAGGCAGCCGTCCAGCTGAAATAATTGCCAGCCCTGGCTTGCAACATTAGGCCATCTGGGGCACCAAAGACTTGTGAATCAGGTTCTTACAGATTCTGGCTTACCCCACAGTGCATTAGTACCCACAAAATAGCAATTGATTGCATATTATAATGCAGTATTTCTACATCACATATCAGTAAGTGACCCCTGTCCTGCAGAAGCTGACCCTGGTAACAGTATTTTTGTCTAAGAATATTCTAGCCAGCACCTGCATATGAAAGATCAGTTTAGAAAGCAAACTATCCAGGTCTTCAGGCTTCCTCCAACTTTACAAAGATGAAAATACTAGAATACATGGGAACTTGTTCTGCTTGCATTTTGAAATGGTATTTGTTTGCATTGATGAGTTAGATCTGTGTTTTTATTCTATGCTAGACATTGGAGGCTGTTTGCAGTCTGCTCTCCAAGGAACAGAAGGCTCCATGTTCCACCCACTTGGAGTTTATTAGGCAGCCAGTTAGTTGAGGAATAAGGCCGTTTATGACTTCACGTGACAAGTGCTGTGACTAGGGACAGACTGTTACATTGTCAGCATGTGGGAAGCTATGTTGCCTGGTGGCAATTACTATGACATCTCGCTTCACCATCTGGGTAGGACCTGACCAGAACATAGTGACCAAATGAGCAACTTGGTTTCATATTATAAAGGTACCAAAACAACCAATTTAATTCATGTGAATGTAACTCTTTTTGATCTTCAGGTTTCTAAGATCAGCCCTTCCAAACTTGGATTCATACAACCTATCTAAAGGGTGTTGTAGCAGGGAAAATGTGGGCTGCTTTGCTTCTCTGGCTGTTAATGCATGCATATTGTAGTAAAGTTTTACTCCTGATCCAGCTGTACAGTTAACTCAGGGTGGTGACAACAGACCCTCTTAAGGGTTTCACTAGGCTTACTGCTTTCCGCTTTCTAGGGCTCTGAAGGGCAGTCCATGTGAGCATAAAGCGGTGCTTGAATGATGAGATTTGAAGGGTGCCCACCAAAGGTGTTTGTGGCTGAACTTGGAGTGGAAAGGAGACTCCTCTGACTCCCAGACTCATGTTCTTGCTTCTGGCAGACACAGGCCTCAGAATAGGTTAGAGACCTCCTAGTTTTGCAATACCTTAGTGAGAGAACTTCAGAAGAGGAAAGAAACTTGTTAGCCAGTTTTTGTACTGGTAAACTTGGCTGATTTTGGAAATTCTAGGATCTTGGGGTCCTCAAAGCTCTGGTCTGTACTCTGCTAATCCTTCTACAGGGTTTCCACAATTTGTCGTTGCTTGATGAGAACACAGCTGACCAGGCTATAGAAAAACCCCTACTCTGACTGACTAGTTTATTTTCCTAAAGATATGGCACAGAAGAATAATGACCAAGAATACCTGCCTGAAATGGACACTTGCCATGTCTTGTTTCTTTTACCCACTTGTGCTAGCCCTCTCCAGGCCAAATGGTATTCTCTGTAACAGCTCCTAGTTAATATTTCCTCGGAGTCTTTTTCTTTTCAAAGAAGCAACTGTGAAAATAAGTAGTTTGTGGAACTTGGTCAGGTTTTTTTAACCAGATGCATCCAGCTTGCTTTGGCTGGAATGCTTTGGGCAACTGACTTCTATAAAATATCATGGGGATCCAGTTTCCTTTCCCAAATAGCATTTTTTCCCCTTCTGCTTATGTGCAGTCTCCCCTCAGACTGGACTGTTGTAATATGAAGGGACTAGTGTGTACTGCTTGTATCTAGTTTTCAGACTATGGGCAAACCAGAATTGCTAAACTGTACTTCCTTTCCTCTAAGAAGCTGCTGCCTTCCCTCAATATCCTTTCCTTCTGGATGGAGCAGCATCCAGCCCCCAACTGTTCTGAGTCTCAGAAAATGAACTCTTTTACCGTGTTCTAGAAAATAATGGCAAGGGAAGTGAATTTTTAGTGCAGATTCTGTTTTTATAATGTGGAAATAAAAGACGTTCACCAGTCTCTCTTTCTCTTGCTCTCTCTAGATATCACACTTCAGTGGCTTATTCAGCATTCAAAATCTCGAAGAAGTTGAAGTCTTCCTGGAGTCTCCTGTACCAGTTGGCCATAATCTCAATTGTCCACTCCCTCCATGATGAAATACTACCCAATAGTCCTGTATCAAGAAATTGCCTTTTTCACAGTTCATTTCCCATGTGCACTGCTGAAGACTTGTATTTTTATTCTGTCACAGAATGAACTAGAGTTGTCATGATAAAGTCAGCAAAAAGGTTTGTTTTACAGCCATCTAAACAGTGGGGGAAGCAGGGGGGAGCCTTTTTAAAATTATCTCTGCCATATTTGAATCGAAGAAATAGTACATTTCTGTTCTGGTTTTTCATGGCCAGGCTTTTATATTTGATTTTTCAGCAAATGTTAATAGAATGTTTTATTTCTAGTGTTTAGTGGCTTGAGGATGCTGACACTGCACAGCATTGAGATTCTAACGCCACACGTGGTAGTTGGAGAACCTTAAGGCGTGACTTTATGTGGGATATTAACTTATTGTTATCTCACAAATGCATGTGGTGTGTGTGTATATATAGTAAGCCTGAGAATTGGAAACTGTCTGCAAAGGGGGGGGGGAAAGCACAAGGCACTAGATCAGCATCACTAGTCTTCTACAGCTGTGAGATGATCCAGTCATTTTAAACACCACTTTTTTCCAATAAGTTAGAAAACCCAAATAGTTAAACAGTTTGTATCAAGATCATTATTTGTATCTCTCTTTCATTTTGTTTTAAAACTTGCATAGGGAATGGGAAATGCATTTGCTTTGTCAAAAGATGTCAATGGTTATGTATTCCAGCAGACTAAACACATTTGCTAGGAATGTAAGACTGCTCAAATGCACGTTGTTTTTTTCTTTTTGTTTTTTTTTCTTGTCTCCGGATGCTTTAAGTTTATCTCTGTCTGAAACACCAGAATGTGAAGTCTGAGCTGCTGCATGACACTCAAATTACAGCGGGTTTGGGTCTTTCTTTTAATCAAGTCCATACTGTCGACTTTCAGCACAATATCTGTGTAACTGTCTAGTGTGTGTGTGTGTCTTTCTCATGGAATAGCTGGGCACAGTTTCATCTGGTGCTGGGAAACAACTCTAAGCCTGCCTGTTTTTTTTTTTTTTTTTTCTCAATGTAATCAAGTGCAAAGTCTGCAGGCGGCAAGATGAAATGTTTCACTGTGTCTTGAAGCACAAGAGAGCCAATGAATTGATCCTGTTTCTTGATTTAGCTTCTGTCGTATAAAGAAATATGTATAAACTAAAGATTGTAATGTTTTTGTAGCTTTACTTTCTCGTTGACTTCAATATGTTTAAAGGGACAGACTTGTTAAGACTGGTTTGTTCATACAACAATGTCAATGTAGTCCAGTGTAGTATATACAAATATATGGTACACCTGCTTGTGTTTCTTCACTGTGTAACTTTAAAGTAGCACCTAAATGTAGATTTAGGCAATGTATTTTTTCAGAGACTTTAGTTGAAAACACTTGAGTCCGCTCTGCGTGTGTGTACAAGACAAACCAGTTTTTAATTTAGACTGTCATGGCCTTACTGTTCTGTACAAACTACTGCACTGTTGCACAGACATTACATGTTGCCTCCATTTACAAACTAGGCTTGCATTTTAACTTTTTTTGTCCACTTTTAGTCCTGAGGCATGATTTCAATTAATCCCATACTCTTGTTGGTGCTGTAGAGAAGGGTATATTAACTTGCTGCTGTAGTGAGTAGTTTGCCATGAACTACTACAGTTACTTTTATTTAGCAACTTTGCTTGTGCCTAAAATAAGGAAACTGAATTAGAATGTGTGAGTCTACATGGGGACCAGGTCACTGAGTTAACTGGCTAATAGCTGAACTTGATGTGTTTGGTGTGTATCTACTTCACTGCTTTTAGCATTTATGGCATCCAAACACTACCAACTGTTAACCTTCACATTAACCTCTGCATGTGAACAACTTATACAATTATTGAACTTTGTAAATAAGTGAATTTTTTTTTATTTAGGTGGATGCATATTGTTGGTTTATTGCTCTTCAGCTTTATTCAATAAACTTAACATTTTGAGGGTTGTATTGACACTTAACTGACTCCTCAAGTTGCAGTGTGACTTGGTGTGTTCCTGTGGGTTATAGGCACATGCTGTCTTGTTTTGATTTTTCACAACCAAGCAGGAAGTTAAAATACGCTAGTGTGGAGTGAGCAGGAGAAGGAGTAGCTAGTCTGAAGTCTGACAGCTTTTTATCATCTACTGAACACGACTAACACTTGTTACTTCAGAAGTTGGCCTGCACATGATCCATCTACTAAACCTGGATCTTACCTGAAGAGTTGCTGCTCTTGCTCATATTCCTCAGTTGTGTGGTTTCGTGGCATATGTGAACAAACTTGTGGTTACTGTGGCTATAAACTATATAGCAGAAGAGCAGAGTTAAAATATGGTACCTTCAGGTATCTAACTTTCCTCAAGTTCCTCTTGGAGGGCAGACCCTTCTCTTCTGTGCAACTCTCCCCTGGAAGAATCTAAGCGTTTTGATGCACAAGAACCATCTAATTCCTACCAGCTTCTTAGACAAATGCAGAAACAGTGAGGATGCTGTGACATGGGTAGAGCTTTGCTCTGATGGTGACAGGCTTCTAGTCTGGGTTACTCAGCCATGTGTCAGTCACCTGGGTTAACAGTGCAATGTGCACCTACCCTAAGACACCTTCCTGTAGGTGGCACGAAGGAAACTTACAAATCCATTGCTTGTGAACATGAATAGTTGGGGAGGGTAGCTGACAGTGAGATGCAACTTCTTTAACCAATCTATTTTGAAAACACCCTATCATTGTTGGCAGGGAATGAGCAAACAGTTGCTTTTCTTTTTTTATGGTTGGTCTTGATCTTGCCTTTGATCTAGTTTGCTAACTAAAATGCCTAAATAAAAATAGGTCTGATCTCTGCAGAACAAAAGCTACGTACATGCATGTGTACGTACACATGCTTTCACTTTGTTCAGGCTGTTAGGCAAGACAGCTTGATTGTTGGCATCAGAGCACCTTGTAGTTCATGGTTGTTGTAAAGCTGACGACAACTCCCCCTGGAGCAGGAAGAAAAACTGTTTCCTCAACTCCTTAGAAATCGGGGTTGGATTTAATGGAACTCTTATACTGGACACTCACTGAGCCAGATACTCTTCCACCAACTCTTAATTTTTATTAAGGTAAGATGAGTAGCTGTTAGTTTATGCTGTTACTTGGATGCCATATGCATACACAGACTGTAGGTTATCTTGGTCTAATTTTAACAATTATAGATGGTCAAAACAAGCAGATTTTAGACTAGTCTTTGCTTGAAGTCTCTCTCTCTTCCCCCCCCCCCCCCCCCCTCCACCCCCCCCCCCCCCCCCCCCCGCACTACAATGTTTTCAGTACTGTAACTTGCCTACACCTTTTTTTCATGAATAATGTATATATGTGGATTAATCTGACACTGGGATGCTGCATTTGTTTCTGTGAGGTAACATAATGTCCTTATTTTTACAGTACACTGCCAAGTATGGTACAAGCCAATTAAATGATCTGTTTCCCAGTCTTGGTTGCCCAATTCTCGCTCTTCCTTGTTTTCTGTTCTGACTTGTATTCCTGTTAAATGGCATTTTGGGGAAGCTCTTTAAAATGAATTTACTCAAATGTCCCAGTTATGTTGTTGATGGTAAAGTGCTGGCTTGGTCAGTGGTTATCTTGGACGATGAAAAATGGTCTACTTCTAGCTTCTGCTTCTAATTGGTGTGTGATGAACATGAGAACTTTTCATGGGGGAGGGGAATGTAGCCCTTTTCTTTCTAGAGTAACCTTTAAAGAAAACAGAGCGTTTTCAATGAGGTGAAGGGTGCCAGGGAAGCCCCTTCGTTCAGGTAGAAACTTGCAACTAATTAGTGAGGCATCAGTCATGCCTCTTTCTTGGTGGCATTTCATTATTGCATAGTGTCCTAATGGTGTGTGGGTTTTTGATTTTTAATATTTGTCTGATCTTGGTTTGAGACCAGGTGACTGATCACTGAATATTACCAGTTGTAAACTGTGCATCTCGTGACTGGCCTAAGGAGTCGTGCTGGTATGAGGCCACTCCCTGAGAACTTGGCTCTGTGGTGTCATGACCCAAAGGCATGATTTTGTGTGTGTTTCGGCACCAGAATTATCCCCACCAGGTTGCAACTTCATTGCACGGGAGAGTTTCCTATTGCAGAGGAGAACCCTGGTGCAGGGATGAGTTTCCTGCCTCTTTGCAGCTTCTTTTGCAGGGTGCATTGCTCAAGTTGCAAGAGAAATGCACGGTGCAAAAGAGTTCCTGCCACCCGTATGCAAATTTGTTCTCCGCTATTGGCTAGTTCTAAATTATTCCCATGGGTCGGCTAACGATTGGCCTGTTAGCCGTATAAGAGGCTTGAGCAGTTTCCACCCAAGCAGAAGAGGACTCCACATCCATCTCGTGGAGACTCTGGATACACGGCAGGGTAATAGAAACCCTGTGTGAGATTCAGAGGAGTTTGGCGACCTGATCCATCGCCCACCTCTTCCCGTCTTCGAGCGGAAAGAATTTATAAGACGTATCTCCGAGTCCGATTTTGGTGGCGTGTTCACCCAGAGCATCCGGAGCTCTGTTCCGTGGAGCCTAGCAAACTCCACGCGACCGTCCGTGTTGTCTGTGTCTAACCGCAACTCAAGCAAGTTTTCTAGCCTACACCACAACCATCTCTGGTGTAAGTAAACAATCTTTAAATCTACCGTTAAGCGTCTGTGCCTAATTCCAGCTCATCGCCCTCCCTCTCCGATCCAGCGTGCCCAGGCTGCTGGCCACAGCCTGTGTGCAGCACGGAAAAGGGCTCAGGTCGCTCCCGGCCCGCACATGTGGTACTTTGTTTCTGAAGTTGAGAGGTATTAATATCCTACCAGCCAGCTTGCACAACTCAAGCGTGGGTGGTAGAAATTTACAGTGCAGTATGGTTCCCAGCGTCAGCCCTCCTATGACGGCAGTCTCGTCTAGAAACTGTGATTTGGATACATAAATATACTTGTAATGCAATTAAATAAAAATGTTTTAATAACTTTTGTCTAGCTCAGGTAAAGCATGTTGTTGTGCTTGGAGCTTCAGCCTTTGAATTGTCTTGTCCATGGAAGTTGGTGTCTGCAGGGGATTAAGATGTCTTCAGCTCACTTCCTTCCCAGCTGGTGTGTTTTTTCAATGCTGCTCCCTACTGGGCTTACTTTTTACTTTTCCACTCAACCTAAACTGCTGCTACTACAAAAAAGAGACACAAAAGGGGGAGGGCAGGAGGCCTGATTCTTCAGCAGTTTTTAAACTTCCTTCCTTTAAACTTCACTATCACCTGGATAGACCAAAGAGAAGCAATGTATTTAACATATACATAATAAAAAAACAAAGTCTCTGTAGCTTTGAGTCCTTCCTCAGTCATCGTGTCCCCTTCTTTCTCCCTCCTCTTCCCCCCCCCCCCCC